TATCCAGTTAGAGTTAGCAAGCGATTGTACTGCCATCTCCTGGAGTTCTTATGTAATGCCACTCAAGGCTTTCTCAACAAACATCTGAACTGCTGTGCTTTCTTATACAACTGCTGGGCTCCCTCAGGCATCAGAGAGAAACCCAGCAATGACAAGGTAGCTTGTTCATTGGGAAGTGCTTAATCTTGGGAGGAAACTAAGTTAAGGGGAGATAATCTCTGCTGAGCTTGTAAGGGGTAGGGAAAACAGCTGGGGCGTATGACAGGGCTGAAATTGCAACCAAGAATATATTAGGGAGAACTTTCTAACTGTGAGGATGGTTAGGTACTGAAACAAATCATCTGGAGTAGGGGCTGATAACCTACAGCCCATGGGCTGGATGCAGCTCATGACGGCCTGCTCTGGTCTGTGTTTCATTAAGGGTGTGCTGATCCCCAGCCATTTGATTTGGTCTGGGTTTTGCTAATGCCATGCCAATTGCCTCTGGGTGCTCCAGCTATCCTCATCACTGGAAGATTTTAAGAACAGTTTAGATGTAGGTGTCAAACTCAATCTGGGCCTCAGGCCAGATCTGCAGAGCCAACAGCAACTGCAGCTAGGGTTGTGTTTGAGTGGCAGTGTGGATCTGGGGGCAGGAAGCAGTGTGGAGGCCTGGCTGGGCAACAGTGGAGCCAGGGGTGTACAGCAGTGTGCAGGCACATTTGGGTGGCAGTGGAAAGGTCTGGCTGGGTGGCAGCCCAGGTCCAGAGGGATGCAGTGACATGGGGCTGCGTTCGGGTGGCAGCATGGAGCCAAGGTGCTGCCACTGATGGCTATGTCCATAGGGGTTCAGGGACTCCAAATTCTGTGCCCTCCAATTTCCAGTAGCCTACTGGACTACTGGTGGGCCATATGTTTGACATCCCTAGGTTAGACAAACACTTGGCTGGGATAGTTTAGACAAGCCTTGAGAGTAGGGTGTTGGACTAGATGCCCTCCCTGAAGCCCATTCCAGCTGTTTTTCAGGTCACAGCTCTTGCTCATAGAAACAGTTTAGGGTAAGTTCTTTTTTGATAACAGACATCAAAATAAACAAAAGGTAAGTTACTGTTTTTTCTTGCAAGAGGAGCAAAATATTTCTTTAGCAAAAATGCATTAATTTGTAGGGGCTTGTATATGCTTTAAAAAGAAAACTGTGATATCATAAACTCTTATGTTTGGTATAGTAGAACTTTATGAGTTTGTAATAAAATCCTCACAAGAAGAATACATCCCTTCAGATAAGCATTACATAAAAAGAAGACACATCTTGTGTAATTTTTTCTATGCAGATTTCAGTTGCAAATATAATACTTTTTCAACCCTGTGCGGGCCGGGAGCAACCCGAGCCCTTTTTCGTGCTGCACGCGGGCTGTGGCCAGCAGCCCGGGCACGCTGGATCGGAGAGGGAGGGCGACGAGCTGGAATTAGGCACAAACGCTTAGCGGTAGTTTTAAAGATTGTTTACTTACACCGAGATGGCAGTGGTGTAGGCTGGAAAACTTGCTTGAGTTGCGGTTACAGACACAGACAACACGAACAGTCACGTGGAGTTTGCTAGGCTCCACGGAACAGAGCTCCGGATGCTCTGGGTGAGCGCGCCACCAAAATCGGAATCGGAGATACGTCTTATAAAATTTGCGCTCGAAGACGGGAAGAGGTGGGCGATGGATCAGGTCGCCAAACTCCTCTGAATCTCACACAGGGTCTCTATTACCCTGCCGTGTATCCAGAGTCCCCACGAGATGGATGTGGAGTCCTCTTCGGCTTGGGCGGAAACTGCTCAAGTCTCTTATACGGCTAACAGGCCAATCGTTAGCCGCCACGTGGGAATAATTTAAAACTAGCCAATAGCGGGGAACAAATTTGCATACCGGTGGCGGGAACTCTTTTGCACCGTGCATTTCCCTTGCAACTTGAGCAATGCACTCTGCAAAAGAAGCTGCAGAAAGGCGGGAAACTCGTCCCTGCACCGGGGTTTTCCTCTGCAACAGGAAACTCTCCCGTGCAATGAAGCTGCAACTTGGTGGGGATAATTCTGGGGCCAAAGCACACACAAAGTCATGCCTTTGGGTCATGACAAACCCGTTTTTTAAAAAAAAAAAATCAAGGTTTTGTAGATTAAAAATCACTAGCAACAAATTGTTTCAGAGAGCACTAACACTAGTGATCATGAATACCTCTATGGGGAATGCACATTTGCAGAAATCTGGTCCAGGTAGTGCAGGAGAACTCAAATAAAAGGACTATTTGTAAGTCAAAAATACAGCCATCAAATCCATTAGAAAGATTTCAGCTTCAATACCATATTTGATTTTCATTTAAACATTATGCTACTTAAAATACAGGTTTCCCTCGCTTTATGTGGGTTCTGTATGTGTGAATTCGCTCTTATGCGATAACCCTTTATATACCAAAAATTCTTTATATGCGAGGTAAATTCACTCATGCGATTGGTGTGGTGGAAGCCCAGTTAACTGCTTTGTGCAGTGCATTGTGGGAGTGACGCACACCAAAATGTAGTCTCCTGTGTGGATCTGTGCTCCTCACTTGTTTGTGACGTGTTTCTGTAGTTGCTCTCCCCATTATGGTAACATTCACTCTGTGCTTGTATGTACTGTCTGCTGCTGGGGGGGTATGAGAACTGTCTTGTAAAAGTAGTTGAAATGGGTCTGGTGGTCAATACAGTCGAGCTCTTGGAACTTATCCCTGTTTGTTACTTTGTAAAGTGGGTTCCCTTTATGCAAATTTGAGTTATGCATAGTTTTCCAGGAACACATGTACAGCATAAACCAAGGGAAACCTGTAACAAACTGTTTCTGGGTGAGAATATAACTAGAACAAAACTTTAGAATATCTACAAAGAAAATTCAGAAATAATTTCCTTAGTGAACAAGCTATCAAGCAAGGAAACAGGGACATTAAAACCTGCCTCTTTGAGACATGCTATAATGACCCAGAACTCATTTACCTAAATCTACTCATTTGACTTAGCAATGTAAAGTGTTGCCACTTTACATTTGAAGCATCCATAATATTGATAGGGAAAAATAGTAGACTGTGGGTGTGTCTACACAATCATTTATGTGCTTTTGCTAATGCACATTGAATTTAGTACCTGCATTGTGAGGTACTATAAAAAGGCGCATTAGCCTATTAATCCACATTAGCAAAAGCGCATGGTTTTTTTGTGATGCTTTAATGTACGTTAAAATAGGCTAATGTGTATTGAAATGCACGTGTAGACATGCCCGTGTTTAGTAAATTTATGCTTAAAAAAAGACAAAAGAAACAAAGAAAATATTTGCCACGATGATACAGGCTCATACACAGCCAGACACCAGAGTATTAAATTAGTATGTACTTTATTGACTAGTCATGAACTTACTCAGCACTGCTTAGGCCTCATCTTACGGTGTGCAGTTTTGGGCCCTACACTTCAAAAAGGATGTGGAGAAGTTAGAAGGGGGCCAGATGCAGGTGACGAACATGAGAAAGTGCTTGGAAGGCAGTCATGAGAAGCTGAAAGAAATAGTACATCAGATTGCACAAAAGGCAGTATGATCTCAGTATTCACAGCATCTGAGGGGAGACCTTTTCCCATTGCTGCAGGGAACAGGAGCTGTACTAATGGTTTGAAGTTGTAGCAAAGCATGTTTAGACAGAAAGTAGAGGTAGTAGAACAGACTACCTAGGGAAAATGTGGATTTTCCATCATCAGTGGTTTTCAAGGTTGGATAAGCATTGGTCAGGGATGATTGGGTGGTACTGTAGTTATGCCTACAGTGCTCTGTAAAGAGCAAAAGTTGGAAGCCCAGGAACCACCCTTACCTCATACAGATTGCTGGGAGATTATAAGAGCTCTGCTGTCTAAAGCAGGTGGATATTGGAGAGGACTATGCTCAGCAACAAGAGAATGAATAAGAGCCCCACAACTAGCTTAGTTGTGATAAAAAATATTAAGCAGCTGAGCCAAGCTTATGGAAGGGATACAGAAAAGAGAGTTCTGGCTCTCTGGCTGTGGGTGTGATACTTGTTGTCCCCAGGTTGCAGAACAGCTTGTTTTGGTTTCTCCCATGCTTCTTGACTTTTCTGGTTGCTACAAGGGGCTGGGATAGATCCTCCCCTTCCTACATGTATATTTGTTTAGTTTTGTTTTCCCTTCCTCAGAAGTGTTGGGTTCTGGACTACAATCAGAGCTAGGGATTTGGACTGTTGGGACTAAAACCTGTAGAGCAGTGGTGGTCAAACTTTTTAGTCTCAAGGCTCTCTTCCTTTAACTTAAGGTACCACTCCATAACTTTTGTGAATTGAGTGATACTTCCTTGCCGAGGGGGAAAGAGAACGGCTAGGCAGGGAGAGTCTCAGCCTGCCCTTATCTGCTTTCTTCTCACTCTTCCTGCAGCACTCTTCAAAAGGATCTTGCAGCATGCCAGGGTGCCTAGAACCCTAGTTGAAAAATACTGCTGCAGTTTTTCCCTGCTACTCAAGGTCAGGCCAATCACCACATTTGGGATCAGGAAGGAATTTTACCCCCCAGTCAGACTGTTACAGAATGGGGCTGTTTTTGCCCCTCCTCTGTAGCAAGGGACATGCCCCACTTCCTTGGATCTCAAGTGCATTTTAACAACCCTCGCAACTGTGTGACTGACAGCCATGTCCCCCTGCTTTATCCTGCCTTGAGCAGAGGGCTGACCTAGACTATTTCCAGTGGGCTCTTCTAGTCCCACTTTTCTATGATTCTGTGATAAACAGGAAGCCGAGATAGATGAAAGAGACCAATTATATTTAGTAGGCTGTTTGTCCAATTTGTCAAACAGCTGAGAATAAAGTTTAAAAGACCCTTTTCACAAGGGGTCTCAGTCTCTATATATTTGTTTTGTTGCAACCAGCAGGTGCTGCATACAAAATGCTTGTGTGCATGACCAATAAGAGTTGTGGAAGTGTTTACTCACGCTGATAAATTCAAAATGACTGCAGTATCATGAAAAGAACACTTTTGTTCAAAAACTTTTATTTACTATAAAGACAAAAAACACCAAAATAGGTACAAATTATACTATATAAAATTGGTTCAATGGGGTAAAAACTTTTAATTAAAATATCTCGATATATTTAAAATAACAAAGGATACAATGAAGCCAAATTTCTTAACCCAGAGATTTCTGTAAAATTTGCTTGCACAGTAAGGTGCTAATAGAAGTTAGCCCTTAAGCCCTGGAAGTCTTAGGAATCAGTCACATAGCAAATATAATTTCATTGTGAAAGTGAACTTTGGTAGAAGAAAATCTATAGGACACCTGAGGTAGTAGAAACTGGAATAAACAGCAGTAGGCGTTATTTACAACTTAAGTACCAAATAACATTAAGAACACAAAAATAATTACACAATACAATTTTCAGTCCAGCTTTGATCCAAAGAAAATAAGAATATTACATCACATCTGCATTTTAAAAACACCACAATTACCAGCAAGCTGAGGGAAATGCAAACAAACTCAAACAAATGCATTTGGACATCTAGAGGCAGTTTGAGTCTGAAATGTGGTAGGTATGGTGATCTATAAAGTAATACTGATTAGCTGAGGTTCATCAGTTTATATAGTTTTACATTTATGCCAGAAACAGTATCAATCTGACAATTTATTTTTCCAGTACATAAATTGGCAAGAGTGCATCCTTTAAAGCTTGCACATAAAAATGACTTGGAACCAATCTTATTAGAATCATGAAAAATTCTAAAGCGGTCGGAAAAAACCCCAACAAAACAAAACAGAACAAAACAAAGAAAATCAAGTACAAAACAGAGCTACCAAACTTCACATTTCGGCACTTTTTTCCTTTTAACTCTTCAAAGTTTGCCAAACTTCCAAAAATAAAATAAAATAAAAAAGGAATGTAACATTTCAAAAAGAAATACACATTCACATCTAATGAAACGGCTTTTTATTTATATGAGCATTATCATTCCTGTAAACTTCTCTTAAACTTGTTTTATTTCCAATTTGTGTATCGTTGTACATTTTTAATGTACTATAGCTTATTTAGTTTGTCCTGAGTCTTTGAAAATAACCAATTCTATTTCAGTCCAACAATTCAACTGGCTTCTGAAGAGTTAAAACTTGAACAGTTATTGAAAAAAAATGAATTAAAACAATCAGTACTCATTTAAAAAGACCCCCTTAAAAAGCAAAAGAACAGCTGCCATTTTCCTTCAGAATTCCATGCATCAGAATCTGAAAGCCTGTCTTTAAAACCATTTAAAACTTTTAAAGGAAACACCTGTTAAAAACAAAAAAGTTCCATACAACAGGTGAAGCTTTACTTCACATTTTACCTTAACTTGCTTTTCAAATTGAGGATCATTTCCTGTTAAAAACAACACCCTTATTACACTTAAACAATATTGGTAAGAGATTTCCAAATTACATTAACACCAGTTGCTTCAGTACATGGATGATGTATGGCAGAAGGAAAACAGCATTTAAAAACTTGGTATCAGTAATGAATGTGAAAACAGTGTTGTCACAAAGTAAGACTTGATTTAGACCTTGCTTCTGTCTCCATTGACATTAAGGGGCAAATCTCCCTTTGACTTTCAAGGGAGCTGTGATGGGGGCTCTTTATATGAAGCCTGTCTACATGGTTTACAAAAGGAAATTACTAGGTTTAAAAAAAAAAAACCAAAAAAAAAAAACCAACCAAACCCCCCCCCCCCAAACCCTGAAAAACTAAGATTTAGCATGACCTGGGTTGGGCGTTGATTTATGAAGATCAATCTTGCTTTCTGTATTTAAGTAACCTGTACTATCAGAGCCTGAAACACTGACTTGCTGAATGAAGGTGGCATTTTATTATTTTATTCCAGATTTCAAACAAACCTGTATTAAAAATTCTTGCATCAACAAGATATTCAGTGACATACAGTTTGCACCTAGTTCTAAAGATTTTTTTATTTATTTTAAATGATCACCTTTCCCTGAATGTTAAATATAATGAAAATATAGAACCGTAACTTCAAAAAGGAAATTACAGTGCCAGCAGTAAATGCACAGTGAACCACAACTGCCTGCTCATCTATAATGACGGCAAAATATGGTTTGAAAACTTATCCACCAACATTTGTTTTTGTTACTCCACTCAGAATGTACTTTGTGAAGTCAAAGGAACAGATACAGAACTTCCTTTTAACCAGTGATGAAAAACTGAATGGAACTGCAGAACCCTCTGCTTATGACCACATGATGTGAAATGGAACAGTGATTGCTATATTAAACAGATCCTGAGCCCCTCAGCTGCTAATATTGCTGAAAAAGTGCTCCAAATAAAATAAAAATCACTTATCTGCTAAATAATCATGCAGATTTAAAGAAAAATGTTTTCTTGTTCACTTAAGAGCCAGATCTTTGAAAAGGCACCATTTACATATTTCTGCACAAATGGTGAAATATTGCATACTGAGCTTCGGTAAAGATTTCGATTTGTCAATCACATACTTAGGTAAAGGTCTTCTGCCAGCCTTAAGTCCATGATGTATAATTAAGGCCAGCAAAATAATCCAAGCCACTGTGCTAAACTGCACTGCGAGGCAAGTATTTCTATAGTCAGTAGCATCTTCAGCATATCATTTTACATAATTAGCTACCACGTAGTACGGAAGACTGGGTGTTTCAGTAGCTCCCTTGATGGAGGTCTGTCCTGAGGCTGAAGTTCTAAACATCGAAGGGTCACATCTCTTAAACCAGGGGACAGATGTGGGGGGATTGATGGAGCAGTAGTTGCACTAGCAATCTACAAAAGAGAAGGAAACATGGATTTTAGGTATTTTTCTCTTAAGAGGTTACCAATTGTTCTGATGTTTTAGCTGACTTACCTCATATGCTGTCTGATAGGATCAGATCTCTTTTCCTTATCCAGTTTCTCTATGGCTTATTGCTATTGCTGATTATTGTATATAATCACTGTTTTGGACCTCACTTTGGATTTTCTTGACCTCATGTAAAGCGTGACACTTGTTTCCCCAATATATGAATCCTCTGCTATTCTTCTCTACTTCTATGTTCCCACCTTGGATCCTCTCATATTTTCTTTCTGGAACAACCCTCCCGGACAACCACCTGCTGAATGGACTCTTGGTAATCCTTTGACCATCCTTAAAAGCATTATCCGGGCAGATCACTGGCCATCTGTGTTTACTGGCAAAATGGAAGTAAGCATATGGAGCTAATGAGATTGTCTGTGGGTGCACTCTCCCTTACATTATCCTGCCAGAATATTTAAACTATGACCTTGAAGGACCACATGCAAGATGAAAAAGTGTAATTCACGCTCTATTCATATAGAGAGGTTAAGCTTGAACAGTTTCAACCTTAACCTCTCTATATGAATGCCCATTAATGGGAAAATAGCTTTAGTTATGGTACCTTCAGCAAGACTGAATTAGAACATGGATATTAATACTGGTGACAGATTATTTTGTAAAAGTAGTTCCTTCAATCATTTCATGTCATTTGTTTAACTATGATTTCTATTAAACCTATTTACATTAAATAAGGAAGTGAACTGCATTAGCAATCTGGAAAAAAATTACTATCCTTTTATCAATACCCGGAGATGCAAGTTTATTAAAATCCTTCGGGGCTGAGGACTTGCGTGAATTTCAAATTTTAGGGCAGGATCCCCCTCCCCACCCAAGTTATGAACATTAATATTTGAGTAACTCTTGTATCATTATTCTATAAAGTTAGAAAAAAAAAAACAGTAAAAAAAGAGGAAAAAATGATGTCACCAAAGAGATATCACAAATCATCCCTGCTGTGCACTCTCAAGGATGTATTCACATCTTAAGTACACACTCTTCTCCAGAGGTTGTTCTTAGTGATTCAGTTTTCAAAATAACTAAAATGGAATAGTTTAGAGCTAAAATGTAGCAGCTCTTTATCAGTGTAGCATTTCTAATAAAAACCCTTTAAAATGGAAAGGGAGCATTGCAATCAGTTATTCAATGTGCAACTCATTTCATCCTAAAAATCTCCATTGCTACACATGAAATTGAGTCAACACTGTCTTTGATGTTTATAATACAATTAATTTATAATACGATTAAGTACCTCACCTTAAATATCAAAGCAAGATGATTGGAGTGTTTCTCTGCATTCCAAGGTGGTTTAGCACAAGCCATTTCTATAACAACGCAGCCCACACTCCATACATCACAGCTTCTACCGTACTGCTGGCCTCTCAGAACCTAAGAGACATATAAATCAGGACTCAATTTAACTAAGCCAGGCCACTGACACTATACATACATTGTTTTAGATACAAGGAGCTCAAATCAAGTGAATGCTAATTAGCGGTGTTAAATAAGTTAAATGGCATTGCTATTGAGAAGTTATACTAACATCAATTATAACACTAAAAGTCCTAGCTAGTCAAATAAAAAGAGACCATCTGATAATTAAAAATAACAAACCAAAAAACAAGTCAGCTTCTCCGTGTACTCGGAGTAATAAATACGTAAGAGAAAAAACACCAAATACACCAACAGTGCGCCTTTCCATAATTCCTATTCTTTATGCCAATGAGTTTACTTGAAGCATCACTTCACTACTGGACACTGATTCAAAGAGTCTTATATTAGCATTTGGCTATGTTAATTTTTTTTAAAGGAATTTTAGAACTTTTTTTTAGACTGGTCTCCTTACCTCCGGTGCCATGAATGCAATAGTTCCCAACAACTGTCCCTGAAACTCCCCAGCACCAGTTCCTTTTGATGCCAATCTGGCTGCAGCTCCAAAATCAGCAATTCTTAATCTATGACCCGTGCTGTCAATTAGCAAATTTGCACCTGTCAACGGCATAATAATAAAAAGCTGCTATTGGCTTTCTGTTGCAAGCAAAAACATGAACAGATAGAAAACCTGTATTAAAACAACATTAAGGGACTGACAAAAATCACACACAAGCACGGAAATCTGTAAGTAGAGCCAAGAACAGCAACTCTGGGTGACAGGTCTCAAATATGCTTAAATAACATTGTGTTCACTGGCCTGAAGTCATCCTAGATAAGATGTAGAGAAGTAATATGAAAGCATAAGCATTGGAGATAGGACAAATGGAAGACTGAACTCCCAACCAGGTGGGGAAAGGGTGATGACCAGTACTTGCTGCATGCCCCATACAGCCACCTACGTGAGATTTCTCTCCCTCTTGTAAAGCTGTGTGATCACAGGAGAGCTTGGTGCTATGCAGGGATATTAGCTAGCTTGGATAACAGAAGCAACGAAGTCATGTTAGTGGTGCTCCACCCAAGCTAAATTAGTCTTGTTAAGCTAGTGTGGTTCTCCCTACATATCATTCCATTGGTTCACATCCACTTGAAAATGAGTTCAGAAAAAAGGGTAAAAGGAAACATTAACTCTGAAATTTGTTTTCTTAAGTGTTAAGTATAAAATTACACAAGTTTATTCATAGGCTGAAGTCAGTGACTAAGCGTAACAGGAAGAATGTCTTGCATTTAGCTTGTCTAACTCTCTCCTAACTACATAGTTGGTCCGCTAAAAGATATTACCCTAAGAAATCCTTGCCTCTTATAATTTCTGGACCATCAGAGCTACAACACCACTCTTACACTACAGTATTATACTTCACACCAGCTGAAACCCGCAAAACATTTGCGATTAAATTTTTATTGTAAAAATTTCTTTAAATACAGGATTTTTCGTTATCCCTTCACCGAATCCTTTAATGGAATCAAAACTTCTCACCCTTGAAAAGGGTGCATAAAACTGTCCATGTGTAAACACAGGCATAGGACTATAAATACATATTTTGTCAAAAGTCTGACCCTGTGACTTGCTCAGAATCATAGAATGAGAAGACCCTTGTACATGTGAGGAAACTGCCCCTTTTAGTGGTTTAATTGCCCTGGCAGCATGTTACAATTAAATTTCGTAACAGTGTACATATTCAGCAGCATATTTCAATTTAAATGACTTTATGTAGCAAACTAAAACACATCCCATGTATTTTAGTTTACTATGTAACAAATTACAGCAATGTTCCTCATGTGCGCAAGGGCCCTATCTGGAGAAGGCGGCAGGGATAGCGCATGGGAAGCTGGAAGCCCAGGCATGTTCAGGGATGCTTGGGCTTGGCGGGCTTCCAGTGCTCTGTGCACCATCCCCGCTGCCTCTTCTGGCTGCCAGCACACCCAGCTTCCCTCCTGCCGCTTTCCCAGGGCAGCCAGCCCGTTCCCGGGTGCTCCTAGGCAGCGGGGATGGTGCATGGGGCACTAGAAGGCCACCAAGCCTGAGCTTCCCCAAGCACACCCAGGCTTCCAGCACCCTAGGCACCACTGGATCCAGTGGGTGCTGCCTGCGAGCTGGGGCTACACCTGTGCAGCTCAGGGGTTGCACGACCTGGCGGCAGCACACGTAGGCAGGCTAAAAATCCCAACAAAATGGCAAGGGGCCGAATTTTTTTCCCTCTCCCTCCTGGAGCCTGTCTGCATCTCCTGTGGCAGGGGAGTGAGCTGCTGGCGGGTTACACAGCCCCTGAGCTATGGGGGACCCCAGTGCTTTCCTCCACAGTGGCAGCATCCCTTGGGCAGTACCTACCCACTGGTCCCTCACCCAGGTGGTCCTGGGGGCACTGCTGCTGTAGAGAGAAGCACCAGAGCCCCCCTGAATCTCAAGGCCTACCGGCAGCTCGCACCCCAGCCCCAGGAGAGGCAGGCAGGCTTCAGGAAAAAATAAAGGGATAGGGTCCCTCACAACTTTTTTTTTCTTCTTTTTTTTCATTGGCTGCCGAGACAACCAGAGTGCCCCGGACAGACAGAATAAGCCTATTATTATTATTATAGATTTGCAGAGCTGTTTAAAACAACATAAAGTTACCATATATACCTGAAGCAGGTTAAAGCGAGGAACTTTTGCAGATTCTATTCTACCTTTGGTATTGAAAGTGCAGCAGAAACATTTTTACCAGCTTACTCCAGAAACCAACTCAACAGTTCTTTTAAAACTTTTGCCTCAGGCTGTTTTCACCAAAGAGGTAGGGATATTTGCTTTCATATACCTAAGAGCTACTGAACATCTGGATGAAGTTTAGGGGCTTCAAAGTTCCAAAAGGCAGTTGGACAGTTAAGGCACAGATTGCATCTTCTGTAAGAGTGGATTTACATAGGAGTGACTCAAAGAAACTGCCAAGTCTCAAAAAAAATCATATTTGTTTCCTTTTTAAACTCTAGTTATTAAACAGCACCTTGAAGCTTTCTTACCTTTGACATCCCTGTGAATAATCTGATTTTCGTGGAGGTAAGAAAGGCCACGCAGTAATTGCTCCGTGTAGTTAATAACAACTGATTCTTTGAAGGCTCCGTATTTACTTAACAAATGAGCAACTGATCCCCCTGGAAGATAAATATGATTAATGGAATATATGCATAAATTATAAGTTTGGACTGCCAGAACTAGAGCCTAATTATTTCTCGTTTATTTAGCAGCTAGTGATTAGCACAGGTTTTTGAAGAACCTGAGGTTGCAAATGCATGCACAACTAACTTTAGCATTAATTTCTAATACATTTACCTCAGTTTTCACCCAGTGAATTGCTAAACATTTTTTTTTAAATGAAAGTTTAAAACAAAAGTTCAGAAATTCTGCCACTGGTGGAAATATGCACTCCAACTGCTATATTAAGGTTTTTAAATAGAGCAGCAGTTGTTCTTTTTGGCTCATTGCTGTCATAGATGTTGCTAGTGGAAAATAAACATGGTTCTTACAGTTATTTCTTTTGGGGACCTTAATTTATGCTCCTGCTTATTTAGCCTTAAATTTTAACATGCAGAATTACTTCATACTAAAAAGCAGGAAAAGGGAAAACAATAAATAGTAAAGTTTTTTCGAAATCATATATGCTAGTATATGGTCCGTCTGTTTGTCTCTGGTATTCTATTGTTTTTTTCTTCATCCTTCATGAAAACTTAATACTTCAATGAAAAGGAAAGAGCCCTGCAACCTTTTTAAAAAAATCATTATACCATATATTCCTGTTTTATAAAATCATACTTTAGAGCTCCATTCTTCTCCAGAATCCAGCAGGATTATTTCAGGAATATGTTTTCTGCATTATTAAATTCAATAACCTGTACTCAAGCTTTGTATGATGGAAGTCTGATATTAATGAGCAGTCGACCAAGATATGTAAATGTGTTGAAGAGAATACACTGCTCTCCTTCAGAGAAGCACAGGAGAAGAGATACTTTCTGGCTCCCCAAATTTACTCCCTTGCAATCACAAAAAGACATATTATATAATAAATTCTATTTCAACATTTATCAATCTCTTCTTTTTTTAAAAACAACTAGTTAAGCTTCTGGCCCTGACTAATACTTCTGGAAAGCAAAGATTTCTCCCTTTATATCAGGGCACCACACTCCACTACAGAATGCCAGATGAGTAACTATGGGCCCTCTACTCCTTATATTTATGCTTCTTTTAATGTGTTAACGGTTGCATAAATGGGAAATGCACCCAATTTACAGCACCAGAAAATGATAAACGAGCCATTAAAATGTTCTCCATTTTATGGATGGTTTGTGTGGCACCATAAATGGAATGTGTGGCATGTCCACACACTGGGGCTCTCTGGGCCTGATCTGAAAACCAGCTCCTACCAGGAGCTTCTCTGCCCAGCTTCCCCACTAGAACTGAGCTTTAAAGTCCCAGTGGGGGAAGCCTTTCAGCTCTCTCTGCTTGGGCTGATGATCAGCTGATTGTCAGCTTCAGCCCAGAGAGCCCCAGGTCCGGAATTAACAATCAGTTGTCTGTCCACCCCAGTCCCAGGATAGTCCCAGGCTGTGAGCATCTGGCTTCTAATTTGCCAGTGTAGGGGGAGCCTGGGATCATGAGCACAACTGGAATCAGATCTCTGATTCCATAACCGTGCCTCCTGCCATGCATGTGTGGCATGACAGGAGGCACAATTTTAGAAATGGGGATCAGATCTCATGGGGCCTCTAACTGAACATGTACTAGAAGCCTACTAAGCATGCCTCTTCTAAACTGTACTGAGAAATCTGTTGCAGAAAACTCCTTTTTAAACCAAAATGTCTCCATATATCCTGCCTGATAATTCTCCATATGTCCCCTGCCTGATAATGCATTTCTTCCCAATTGAAGCAATTTTATAAAAACAATGGATATCCTAACTTCCTTCAGCAAGATTTTTGTTTTAAAGCAAAATTACTTTAAAATTTGAAATTATGCAATTTTACTGAGGATAAAATATTTTAAACTGCACCAAATTAAGGACTGTATCCTAGTATCCACATAGGAACTTAATTACAGGTCCTCCCCATTTTCTGAGTGGTAGTTTTAAAGTTTAATTAGTATTTTAACATGCCATTTCCAGTCAATTGTTTTTGGGAGGCAGATGTAGGTGCTGGCAAAACAGTTTATCAGCTTTTCAGCTGAACTTGTGAATTTATTGAAATAACAAGCATGCACAAACTGTGCACACACTGGAACATTTTTTCTATTACACATAGTTTTAACGTTTTCAGGTTTGTTTGTTATAGTAAGCTGATTTCCCCTAAACTCAACAAATAGTCTAGAAGAGGTTTATGTCTAAGAACCTTAAAAACCATTTGCTGCAACCCTGTTCACAAAAAGAAATCCCTCCCGCACCAAACATACACTCTCATAATTCAAGAACAAAGATTTTTGCTAAAATTTTACTTTTGAAATAAAATTCACATAAAGGCAGATGAAGAATAGAAGAATTCAAGTAAAGTAGTTTCTCATAAAATATCATTAAAGCCACTCAATTCCAACCCAGCTCACTCAAGATTATAACCATTTTGTAACTTGTAACTAATTTTAGTGTTGGCTACTGGAAACAATACAAACACTAATAAATGACTAAATGGAAGTGATAATTAAATTATATTGCAACATGGAAATTCACAAACTTTAATGCTTGCTAGATAAACTTTTCCAGTAAAAGAAAATTAATTACTTTCTTCCTAGAAATAAAGCAAATTTGCTTTTGCTTCTAAGTATGACAGCCCCGGTAAGATGCAGAAAACGCTTTTTACCTGCCATCCACTCTATAAAGAGATTGTAGTTGCTCTTCTCACATGTAGCACCCAACATTCGAATGATATTAGGATGGTTCAAGTGACTCATCATCCTTATTTCTTCTCTCAGTGCTTCGACTACCTCTTCCTGTTCAGATGACGTGTTCCTGACATACGTCACCTGTGTCAAAAATATACAGTTCAGATTTACTTCAAGGAGTGGCCTTGGATCCGAAATTCCAGGTTGTAATTACCTAATTATGTTTGGTTTTGACAGCTTAGATCACTGATTCTCAACCCGGGTTGATTCACAAGTTAAACCAAGAGATTTCAAATAAGAATCCATACTGTAAAAAAATTCTGATCAGTTGTGATGTGAGTTCTTTGCAACAAGAGAATTGCTTTGCCAAAAAACACAAGTGAAAGCTAAAAGTTGGTATTTTTTGAGGGGTGTCTCATGTCTAACAAGGGTGAGAACCACTAGCAGAGATGGATGGGTTTACATCAGTGGTGTCCAACCTTTTTAAGTAGAAGATTACCTTTGGTATTTAAAAGCACCCCAAGATCTACCCTGAGCTGTTGTCAGCCTCCCCCCACCCCCTGGGCCCAGCAGGTAAGTCTGTGGGGAGGGAAAGGCTGGGCAGACAGAGGCAGAAAAAATTATTTGGGGGTGCGCCTCCCCAGGAAGTAAGTCCCACCCAATCACAGCCCCACTCAACTTACCCCTGACTCCTGCTTCTGCAGCACTATTCCTCAGCACAGGGGCTTTGATCTAGCCCCCACACCCTCCCTCCCCCACAGACTGACCTGCTGGGCTGGCGTATGCACGTGCATGCGCTCAGGCCCCCACCCCAGCCTTGGATCAACTCCCAAGAGGCTTCGAGATCGACCAGTGGATTGAGATCCACTGGTTGGTGGACCACTGGTTTACATGCTTCATTCTTTCTGTACATCCTGAAATTCTACTTATTGTCCAAAACTCTACAAGTGCTATGACTTAATTTTTGAGACACTTTTTCTGGAAAGATCACTGGGCATGCACCTCCCCCCAGTGACTGTACTCAAGGCCATTTAAACTATTCTTGGCATAAAAATAAGTGCAAAACATTCCAAAGTCTTGAGAATCAAAAGCAGCATTAAAAGACTCAACTCATTCTTGTGATGTATATATAAATACTGCTCAAGATTCTTCTCTCTCTGTATAAACTGGAGGATGGGGATGGAGATGGGAAAAAGTTGATTTTCCTGTAGCTTTTACTCCAAACAGGTAACACAAGGATGCTGTTCTTAGGCAGCAGCCCCTTCACCAACCAACTAACAAATAGGAAAATACCAGTAATGGATTCCTAAAAAGAGGAGCACCTGCAGTGATGGAAGACACAGCATACCTCATTATTTCTCAATACTGTATAGCAGTTAACTGCTAGGGTGACAATTCCAGAATTGCATCACATCAGATTCAGGTTTTTGTTCTATAATTTGTGACAAAAGCTCTTTTAAGCATTCATTTATATAGCTGACCAAATCACACAAAATATTATAAGGTTTCATGGAAAAGGCTAGAAGAATGACAGACTGACCAAAATGGATTTCTGACCCTGCCAGAATTAATTTTTGTCCTTTATTCCCTTTCCAAGAGAAAAATAATTGACCTAAAGAATTATGGAAGGTATGCTTTTACAGGTACAAAGATGGAACTACAAGCACCTGGGACCCATTCATTAAACCACACCTTTGGACTGCAGCATAGTCCTTCTTTTGGTCATTCTTACTTTCTCTGTAAAATGTGGACAACACCACTTAGTTACCATCCTCCCAAACAGGGCTGTTTCAATGATCAAATAAAATTCAAATTGATTTAAAAGTTTGTGATCAGCATTAAGACGCATGTTTTCCATATTAATACTCGCTGTATCAGGAAAAAAAGGAAAGTAAAGACATATCACTGGGTTTTGATCTATCCTGGAAATTGTCTGGATTTAGAAAACTGATTATTTAATAATATAAGTCTAATTAAGAAAGGCATCATTATAATCCTGAGCTACAGTAGAGGTGAAACCAGAAGACAAAACCCAAACAAAAATTCCTTGGTTTTCTTCATATGGATTCTAAGCAATAAAAGGTTACTTACCAGTTACTTCTCCAAATACATTGTGCCTGCAGATCCACAATGCAGGAGTCATGGAATCTTTTCAAAGCAGCAAACTCTTGGGGAGCTATGGGTATGCTCCTTGAGCCCACAATTCTGCAATTGTGCCACCACTTCCTTATCCTCCTTCATTTCTTCTAACTCCAGAAACATCTTTTTCATCTCTGAAGAAGTGGGAGGAGTCAAGGCCTTAAACTAGGCTTAGAATGTAATGCCAGATGTGCAGTCCTAACTAATTTAGGAATGGTAACCTGCCACTTCAGATCCTTGGACGCCCTAGAAGCCCTTAGGACAAGAATATATGATAGCATAGGTTTGGAACCAACTCTTAGTTCTGAATCGTTATTAGGACTGAAAGGATGGTATTTTGCAGGAAATCTCCCTGTGCCTTTGCTGATGTTTTATTCTGTAAGAAGAGCTACACATTAGTCCAAAGTAGCATATAGACCCCTTATCACACTCGACAGCTCCAAGCAAAATAGAAGTATCTAAGAATGGTGGATGCAAACACTTGAAAATTCCTTGAATCTCAAATTATTCTCTGGTTTGTAGAAGGTTTAAGACAAGATTCCCTCAGTACTGAAACACTTGATTCAAACAAGAGGCACCCGGATCAGAAGAACACTGCTCATGGCAATGTCTCCTAAATCATTCTCCATAAGGAAGCTGTTGTATTCTTTCATCAAAGTTTAAATATTGAGGATGCTGGTCCAAACACAGAACTTTCTGGAAAAAGAGAACCCCTTAGGTTACGTGTTCTACTCTGTAGCAGAGACTTGTGGAATAAATGTGGATTTACTAGTGGATGAAAAATAATTCAGTAACTAGCTGAAACCCACAAAACATCTGCGATTAAATTTTTATTGCAACAATATTTCTTTAAATACAGGATTTTTAGTTATCCTTTGACCAAATACTTCAGTAGAATCAAAGCTTCTCACCCTCAAAAAGGCTACATACAGCTCTCCATGTGTAAACACAGGCGTAGGAATATAAATGTATAGCTTGTCAAAAGTCTGACCTTGGGACTTATTCTATGACTATAAACAAGAGGACCATTGTACACATGAGGAAGTTGTCCCTTTTAGTGGTTAAATTGCCCTTTTTAACGATTTAATTGCATAACAGCGTACATGTTTGGCGGTGTATTTCGATTTAAATGACTTTATGTAGCAAACTAAAACAGGTCCCATTTATTTTAGCTTGCTATGTAACAAATTACAGCAATATTCCTCATGTGTACAAGGGCCCTATCCAGAGAATGTGGCGGGGATGGTGCATGGGGCGTTGGAAGACCAGGTGTGCTTGGGGAAGTTTGGGCTTGGTGGGTTTCCAGTGCCCCGTGCACCATGCCTGCTGCCTTCTCTGGCTGCCAGCACACCCAGCTGCCCTCCTGGGGCAGCCAGCTCATTCCCGGGCAGTCCCAGGCAGCGAGAAGTTGGTAGGAATGGTGCACAAGGCACTGGAGGGCTGCCAAGCCCAAACTTCCCCCCAAGCATTCCTGGGTTTCCAGTGCCCCATGCACCACTGGATCCAGCAGGTGCTGCCTTTGAGCTGGGGCTGCACTCACGCAGCTAGCACCCTGCCTGGGTGGCCCTGAGACGCACCGATGCCACAGAAGGAAGCTCTGGGCTCCCCCCGCAACTTGGAGGCCGTGTGACCCAGTGGCAGCTTGCGTGGGCAGTCTCCGCCGAGTTTAAAAAAGAGCTGTGAGGGGCCTGATTTTTTTCCCCTTCTTTTCCCAGAGCCTGCCTGCGTCTCCTACAACCAGGGAGTAAACTGTCAGCAGGTTGCACAGCCTGATCTGCAGGGGTCCCTGGTGCTTTCCTCTGTGGCAGCAGCACCCACTCACCGGCACCCCACCCAGGCGGTTCCATGGAGTGCCACCACTGTGGAGGGAAGCACCAGGGGCCCCCTGCAGCTCAGGGCTTGCCAGCACCTCACCTCACCCCACCTCCCCCGGCCATGGGAGAAGCAGGCAGGCTCTGGGGAGAAGCGGGGGAGGATCACTGTTCCCCTCCCCCGCCTTCAGCAGAGCCTGCCCACTCCACAATGGGGGGCCCTGATGCTTCATTCTAGCTCTGACTTGCCTGCATATCTGTTTGAAATGTCTCAGGATCTTCTGTAATAACAACACGCTTATTCTGTCTGTCTGGAGCATTCTGATTGGCTGTTTCAGTAAGCACTGCGACTGGCTGCCGAGACAACCAATCAGAGTCCTCCGGACAGACAGACTAAGCTTATTATTATTATAGATTATATTGGCAGCTACCCAGTGAAAGAGCAATGGCTTGGGAGTTGAGGTCTGGGTTCCACTCTCAGTTTTGTCCCTTACTCATGAAACTGGTTAAGGGACAAAAGCACTTTAAGTTCAACAAAAGAAAAGGGCTATATAGTGTATAACACTCGATATAATTTTCTTTTTTACAGAAAGAGTGAGGAAGAACCTATCTACCTAAATGTAGCACTAAACCCCACACAGAAGAAGGATTTGTATACTGTATCTATGGACTATGCCCACCCCTGGAAAAAGAGGCATATTTCTGGGCAGCAGGGAGTTAAATCCAGGGTTCTAAACAAGGCATCAGAGGAGCAAGCAGGACTGTCTTTGAAAAATATTCCATGGCTCACAATGCAGTGCATGCAACTCCTGTAGGTGAATCTGCAGGGACAAGGTCACGAAGGACAAAAATCATTACAGAATTAGTTCCAAGTTATTTATTTAATGTTTTCTCTTCAACTTATTCAGCTACTAAATTTCTAGACAATATTTGAAATGGATCATTTACCTGTTTTACAGCCATTAATGTCCCAGTTCCTACATCTTGAGCTTGATAACAGGAAGAAAATGCTCCAAGACCGATTTGTTGACCTTTGAGCCATTCCACATCTTCTCTGTAATGGTGTTTTGCTTTGGTATGTCCAGGAAGGGTTTCTGGTGTCTGCAAATTGAATTAAGATGAAGGAGTTAAAAACTTCAAGAGTTTATTTGAAAATTAAAACTTTGAAATTTCACTAGGAATGCTAGTCCATCTTTTGGCAGCATGTTTAAGTCCCTGTTTAACATGAGTTGACCAAATTAAACAGCTTTAGATTATTAATGCCAAACTTGGGAATGGCAGTTGTTCAGGAACAGATTTGTGCAACAGCAGAAATAACCCCCAAACACTTTGTATTTAGAAAATGATTCTGCTTACAGAGATGGCACGCAACCCTAATGATAAAAACTGAAAGAACCTGTATCCAATATTTGGGTAAGAGTTTTGAAAAGCAACTGAAGTGACCTGTTTAGATGCTGATTAGTTTGAAATTAATTCTCTATTTAATAAAATTAATTTAAAATTAAACTGAGCCTGAAAGAAATTATTTGAAATACTCCAAAATTCATACAAGTACTTCTTCTCACTGCTGTTTGTATCACATAGGGCTCCAATTCAGGTTGAGATACCAGTATGCTATATGTACAAACACACAGTCCCTGTTCCAAAGAAATTATAATCTTAATAGATGAGAACAGGAAAAACAATGATGAGAAGGCACAGAACAGATGAGAAGAGACCTTTTTGGCTATAATTTTATCTATATTTGACATCATCTCCTCTCAAAATTTGAATTACAATAGCTGGTGAGATCTAAATCCACGTCGTCAGTCAACACTTCTTGGCTGGAATAACATTTTGTATTGGATTTGCCATGAACTCATGCTATGTTTGGCAAGACCTGAAGTATCCTTTATTTGTAAATACTTACTTGCCTCTTTCTCCATCACCTTCAACTTAACTGTCACTCAAAGTTATACATTTTGCATCAATTCTTTTCCCCTTCACAGAGAGACTCATCAGATTATGTCAATTGTTTCTTTAAAAGATCTATAAAATGTTGTTTTGTCTTTCTATTGCTAAAGCTTATATCCACTACCTAGTGGTAATGCATGCTCCTCTTTCTCTAGGCCTCCTGTATCTTTCTCACTTCTCCTACCCACATATGCTGTTATTAATATTTTCCCCACTACTATTGCCACTTCTGTCATTCTACTTCTCCTGTTTCTAGCCTGGCTACCTTTCATCTTCTGCATCCAGTTCAATCTCATCAAAAACCTGGCACGCTCTGCTCCTGCTTGAAATCATCGAATTATTCCATGCTTCATTTCCTTCCCCCTTCTCCCTTAATTGTTTTGCACCCTTCTCCCATTCTCGCTTTCAAACTTTTTTGCTCAGCTACTTTAGTGCCTGCAAGCCTCTGGTGCACTGAATGCTGCTCCTCTTTCAGATACCTTTTCAAAATGTTTTTACAGTGATCTCAACAGGATTCTGTTGCACCATGAACTCAGACTACCAAACAAATGCTAAGAGCAGGATGTTGTCTACTGTGGCAAATATCAATTTTGGAAAAGGCTTCCAATGAGATTAGTGGAAGCAGAAAAACACTTAAAATGGAGCTTTATTAATTTACAAAAGGAACTGTATGGTATGGTGCCTCCAATAGCTGTGCCTGGACTTGGTAAACCAGTAACTCCCTATCCTATGCTGCTATATTCCAACACACATTAGATGCCAATACTTTCATCAGTATCTGTATTCCATTCTACTTCATGGAGAAGGAACACTGTTCTCCTTATATATTTAAGTAATGTCAGAAACGCATTAGCATTATTAAAACAGGTATGGAAATCAAACGTGGGCTTATGGAAAAACTAAAAACAAATCCTCAGAATACTTACATCCTGATGAATAATTATGATATCTTCACCATTTTCAACCTGTAGTTGAGGAACTACTGGTAGGGCATCTTGAGATGCTGACATTGCCATGGCAATAGCTAAAGCTTCTTCTTCTTCAGCTTCCATCTTTTCCTTGCATTTTTGATTATGATTGACATCATCTTTATAAGTATTGTCATTTTCTGCTCGCTCAGGAGAAAGAACAGCAACTTCAGACTTGAACGTAACCGTGCCGTCACTTGTAGGCATGGAGGCTTCAAGTAGGTCCTCAATACTAGAATTGAGCTCCGCATTAATATCCAACCGACTGCACTTTTCCTCCACTGGTGTGAACACTGACTCTTCACTTGGTATAACTGCACTGCTGTTCCTATTGCCATCACACTGTGAAATGTCCTTCAGATCAAGTGTCATACTGTTTTTTGAGGTGTCTCCATGCTTGGTCATTTCACATGGGGTGGGTCGAGATGGCTTTGGCCTGTGTATGTGACTAGACGGCATAGGCCTGGCCTGGGTAAAAACTGGGGAAAGTTTCTCTGGATCTTTATTTTCCAAACAGTTTCTTTGAATCTGGAGAGAGAGTTTCCGTTGGGTTTGAGGAGAAATGGAGGGTATTTTGCAGGGAATGAATGCCTGAGGTCTGAGTTTAGAGACATCTGTTACAGTGCCAGCTGGTACAGATGGGGTTGAGGGAGAGGGTAATGTTGGGAATAATGTTTGGGAATGACTGGATGAGGGAGAAGAGTTCAAACATTGACTGTGGGGTCTGCCTTTCGTTTGAATGGCTGGCTTTGGTTGCTCAGTGGTTACTGATGAAACAGAAAGTCCCACCGACATGCCAGCCAGTGTCTCAGAAATGTCCTCTGGACTGGCACTCAGCAATGCTTTCCCACTTTTCCCTGATAACTGGATAGTATTGTTAGGAGTATTATTTTCTGTTGCTTCTGGAGAGTTATCTGGGACAGGTGGCTGCATAAAGTCATCACGTCGGCATTCTACAGAATGCATCTCCTCTATGCCTAGCTGGATGGCTTCTGCAATTTCCATTTCATCTGCTATTGCCATCAAACGTCGACGCATCCTTGTGTAATGAGTTGAGCTCGTCTCACACAGCATTTCTAACAGTTTTACAAACACATGGGGCACTCTTGCAACCATTCTTGCAGCACTCAAAAAAACCCTCCGGGATAGTTTACCAACCATTGAGTGGGAATTATCAATCGACTGCAAGGCGAATTTCAAGAGGGACAACAGCTTCTTATACCTAAAATAAATAAATTTAACTGTTACCTAAAGCTTACACTTATCAGTTAATTAGTACCATAAAAGTAAACTATAGAAAAAGTGCATCAACATTGTTACATTTACTACTGCTTGATTATTTCAGAACATACATTTGAAAATGAAAAACAAGCTTTACAACTTTAAATTGCATTTTCAAAATGTGCATAGATATGCAGTCATTACACCCCTCCACCCCCCACTACATGGAAGAAATAACTTTTTGCACATGGATAACATAGGGAGCCCACTGTGAAAAACTGGATAATAATGATTAGTTATAAAGACGAAAAATAATATACAAGTACCTGTCTACTACAGTGTCAGCTTGTAAAATGTCCCCACTAAGAATGTGGGGGTAAAATTCACCAGGAAATTCCAATAAGAGTCTGTCTATAAGACAAAGACGCCCAAGGAGTGCTTGCCAGTTGTTCGATTCAGTTTGGGTTCCAAGAATACAATTTAAGACGTAATCGACACCACCAATACCAATAGACCCTATTAAAAAAAATTACAAAGCAAGTGTTAAATCCATTTCCAACCTAGATCCTATGAAATAGATAGATCAAAAAAACCAGGTTGCAGCAAGGTAAAGGCAGCATGGTTATACAGAACATAAATTATGTTGTTTTTATGTCAGAAATAATTGGCTCAACAGTAACTTTTATTGTTATTGTTGTTTGTATTATCTGAAACAAAATTCCATTAATAGATTTTTAGTAATTTCCTTACTATAGTTGTTCATGTATCCTTAGAGCTGAAATATTTTACTATAATTATTTACATGGAATAAAGATGCTTTTACCAGATTTAAGTATTTCTCTTCCAACTGCCAGCTCTCCTGCTTGGCCTTTACACATCTCCAATAGTGTTGAAACTGAAAGTTGACTTGTGCGGCTAAAACAAATTAAAAGCATAAGTAAACATTACATTAGATATTCCTGATGGATAACATTTTCAATATTAATATTTCTGACATCTTTACCTTTTAAGTTGATACCTTGAATATCTGTATTTGGTAAGTTATATCACATTTTTACTAGGGCTGTCAAATGATTAAAATTTTTTTATAACAATTAGTTGCGCAATTAAAAAAACTACTTGCAATTAATCATGATTTTAATTGCATACCTTAAAAACTCGAGATTATGTGCAGAAAAACTCAAAGTTATGCAAAATTATGCAGGCACTTTGTATGGTTGTGGGGTGGGTGTGGTGTGTGAATTTGTGAAGGTGTGGGGAGGCTGAGAGTGTGGGGTTTGGAGGGGGGTTTCTGCATACCCTGCTAGGATATGGGATACTGTGGGTCAGGAGTGAGAGGCAGCAGCAGGGCTGGGGGTGCTGTGGCTTGGGAGTGAAGGGCAGACACACACACACACACACTACTCAGCAGGCAAGTCTGTGGAGGGGAAGGCGTGGGGGGTGGGCAGATCAAGACCCCCTCCACAGACTTAACTGCTGGAAGCTGCTCCACATGCTGCCAGGCTGTGTTCCTGGCTGCCTCCAGGCTGCAGCTGTGTGTCTGTTTGTGTGCACCCTTTTCCCACTACTACAACCACCTGGAGCCTGTAACCAGGCTGCCCTGCAGTCCTCTGCGCTGTCACCACTGCCTTGTGGGGTGGCCCGGAGGCAGTGGTGACAGTAGTGAAGCAGAGCCCAGGGGCAGGCTTGTTTTTTTTATGCGTTAACACGAACACTTGACGCATTAACTGCAATTAATTGACAGACTTTTTTTTTTTTTTTTTTTTTTTTACATACATCATCCTTGTTGATTTTACACAACTTTTACCTTAAAAATAACTTCTGGCATTGTTCACCTACAATCGCCACAGATCAATCTGTATAAAAGTCAGGTTACTGTAGTAAGACTTCCAAGAAGAGCAACAGTTGTAAAATACTGTTGCTGTAAATAGCACTGTTACAAAATTAACATTCCAGAAGCCCAATAATACTTCTTATGGAACAACATAAAGCACACATCAGCTGGTATTATCCCTTCACATTTTGGGGAACAATGCATCATCTCTTACTGGGCTACCTAAAGACACCATTTCTAAAATACATCTGATAATTAACATGTAATCATCAGCATGACATATTAATAACATCAGAAAAACAGATATGTCCAATATTTTATGAAAGTAACCTTTGTATTTAAATACCAACCACTTGATATTCTGATACTTTTAATTTCTACTATGTAAGCAGATAGGCAACTGAACCTGTGAAACCTTTCGTTACTTATTATTTTCTATCACAGGGATGGAAGGCCCCAGTCAAGGAGCATGGTCCTACCCTGTTATAGGCTATATAAACAGGTAAAATAGTCCATCATGCTCCAGAGGTCACAATCTAGAATTAGTTTGATGCTGAGTCTAATTATTCTAAGGAATAATGCATGACATCACAAAGAAGTGAGCAGAGGACAATAACTTAGTGACACTACTGCAAGAATATTAAGAACCAGACTGGTAAAGAATCTCAGTGGAAGTCCCAAGTGTTAGCCACTAGATAACTGGAGGTATGGGAAAGACAGCGAAGGAGGAGACTGACAAAAATGTATATTTGTGACAAAAAAGTAAGTAAGTAAAAGGTAGGCCATATAAAGACGGTAAGAAAGTTGAAGCATTAGCTCCTCAGTAGCCAAGTACTTTACTAAAAAAAAAAAAAAAAAGATATCATGGAACGACTAAAATAATTATATCTACAGTGCTATTTTACTGCTAAATGAGCACTTGAACAAAACTTCAATGGCCTAAAACAAAATATTCTATGGCCTGTTTAGTCATGATCAACCCCTCCTGCAACCAAGACTTTGAGAGCTCTTTGCTTGCCCATGATGTAGTACTGATTGAAGTTTTAAAAGACTGAGTTTTCAATAAAGACCTGAAATGAGTCTGGAATGAATCAAAGCCCATACCTGTTGGCATCTGCACATTTAACTAATATGGTCTCTACAACTGGTTTGAGAAGTCGCTGTAGTTTTGTCCTCTCTGCCAAAGTATAACAAGGAGTATATACCAGCATGGCTCTTAATGTTTTCTAAGAGGAGGGAAGGAGAGAGGTATTAAATCAGGTCAACTGCACTCATCTCTTCAGGAAAACATTATAAATAGGTTTAAATACATAAAACAGAGTGCACATGCATGTGTCATTAATATTTTAATGTATGAGACCTTTCAACCTACTTCGTTAGTATAAAAATGACTCAATCTTGCATTCTACATGACATGCCTGATTCTTGTTCTACCAGTATCGTTAATATCAGCAGCACTAATAGGTCCAATCATTTTGCCTGGCAACTGAGATTATTTGGATGGTTTCTCAGTTAGTAAAGTTAGTCAAACTATGCCAATTTATATTTGCTGAGGTGTTTGCTCAGTTCCTTTTAAGAGAGTGCTTGAGCACTAAATGGGCCTCTCAGTTGTGTTGGGAATCAACAACTTGCATAGACGTGGGTAGGGGCTATGGGTGCTTAATAACTTGAAAAACTAGGTGGCCAAGCAACTTCACAAAATGCCAAAATATGGTAAGTAAACAGTTACTTACTAAAGCAGCAACATACACTTTGTAGACAGGGTCAGCACAGACCATGGACAGCACACTGCAGCAGGATTCCACTACAACATCTCCTGAGATAGTGGTCTGAGATGACCCACTAGCTGCTCCCAGAGCTCCAGCACTTGTGTTGTTCCCACTGCTTCCAGAATTTCCAGTGCTTTCACCATTAGCCAGTAACAGAGCACCACTAACATCATGGGAAAGACGTCTAAGTGCCATTTCTCGTATATTCCAGTTTCGAGAAAACAAGCAGCCAACTAACTCCATTCCAAATACCTAGTAATAGTAAAGACACTCCATTTGATGTGGTTGCAGGTCATAATATTACGAGCTCAATTATTTAAGTATTTCAAGAAATAGCATTTCAAGTTAAAAATCTTGTCTCAATGGTTTCTAAGAATAAATACCAGCTGTATTGCATACTTTTAAATATCCAATAACCTTTTATAAAGATAAGGCAAAATACAATATATACTACTGCACTGGTTTTTTCAAAAGATTTCACTTATTTAAAAACAAACAAACAGTAAAATCCCTGTTATCCCGCATTCTACTAGCCAGAATACTCTATTAACCAGCACCACGCCACTGTGCACCACCCCACGCCACCACTGCCGCCATGTGCAACCGCCCCATGCCACCACTATCTAAAACACTGCACTGCCGCCACATGCAAGCCCCGCCTCCCCTCCCTCAAAGTATTTTTAGATATCTTGAATTTTTACACAACAGGCAGCTGGCATTCTCCAACTCATGCCGGATAACAGATTTTACTGTACAGATTTCTGCCCCAACTGTTTTTTGAAACTACAGCATAATCTGAAACCATTTACTAACTGCTACAACAGGTAGTGAAGGAAGAATGCTAGTAATTTCAATAACTGTTTCCTTCTATGTAGAACTCAGCATGATAATCGCTTCTGCAGAAAACAGGTGCAGCAATGACAGTGGCAGCGCAAGTTCCCCAGACAGCTTTCCATGATAAACTAATTCCATCTTTAGAGAGAAGAGCAGACTGGCCACCTAACCCTTCAGCACTTAGCTATGCAGCATCTGCTATTAAGAAGGGTATCTATTAACGTTCACTGTGCTTTTGATGTAACATTTTCTTATATGACAATGAAGCAGAGCTTTTGAGATTTTCCCAACTTAAACACTGAAAACAAAACTAAGAAATATTTTGAATGAAAGTTAACTTATTAACCATATGGCTCAGAAGACTATCTCCATAAGATGCTTTAGGATTGCACCAGGTACAAGAACTGTGTATGTGGGAGAAGATTACAATGACTATTTTGGAAACTCTCATCGTTAATTTTCTCTGTATTACTGAGTGGTTTATTTAGTAACTTCAGTACCATAAATGGATAATCCTTTTCAGACATAGTCAAAAGAAATAATTGCTGTGGTTGCTGGTGGGCATTACCAGGTAATTTCTCATATTATTTTCTTTTTTTCAAGTGAGGTGAAGCTACATTAACAAAATAGGCTTGTGAAGGAGAGCAAAGTTCTATTGGTGAGTGTGCACTAGAGAATTAGCACAAGCAATAATTTGCAAAGCATCTTCCTCTTGTCAATTCACAAAGAAATACAGTTGGGTCCTCTGAAAATGGAATAATTCCAAGCACAAGTGGCTCTGAGTAGCAAAAAGATAGGAAAATATCATATCAAGATGACAAACTAACATTACCTGAATCCACGGCTCAGCTAAATCTTTATAGATTGAAGGGATCTGCTGAACCCCATAATGAGTAAGGTTAAAACTGCTATCCTGTGCTCTCCTTTGTGATCCAGCTGTAGGCTGCTGCTGAGTTTGCTCCTGAACCACACGGAGAACAGAAGGAGAATCCCCAGGGCTTGGCAATTCATGACTGCAAACAAACAGCAAATACTTACTGTGGAGGAACACATTAAACATAGAAGTTCTGTACACTTAGCTAAATGCCTTGAAATGGAAGATTCACTACAGTCATTAAATACTTACCTATAGAAATCATGAGATCTCCATTTAGATCTGCAAAGGGGGCATATAAGTGGCTCCCTGTTTTGTCGACATTCTTCTGCCCCTGAAATTCAGTGAAAGCAAAACAACATGGTGTCTAAAGTATATGGCAAACATATGAAGGAAAGACCAATGTCTGGCTATTAAAAAGTCAGTATTTTTAAAATTTTATTTTAAATTAAAATATATCCTTTTCTCCACAAGTATATGTAGTTCTGAATTCAGCTCTTAGTACTCAGTGTAGCTAGGTCATGCAATGCATGCTTTTTGTTTTATTCTTTTGGTGCGAAGATTTCTTTTAATCCCAATATTGAAGATATATTTATACTTTTACATGCAAAACAGTGTATTAAATTATAAACAAAAATCCCCCCTGGGCCTTATATATAGAAGTCTGATTATACTGGTTAAAAACCACTGCCGATCTACTAAAGAACATACTCATTTAAAGCCGTACAATGTTCACTTATAAAGTTGTTTGGCTGCTGACTGCTAGTAGGTAACTACTGCAACGTAACTGGATTCGCTTAACATTGCTTCACTTACAGTTGCATTTTTCAAGAACGTAACTATGACGTTAAGCGAGGAATACCTGCATGTTGTATACCCCATGGTCAAACAGCATATTCTTACCTACTCTAATGAGTCTAGAGCCCAGAAGTTTAAGTATCTACTGCTGACTTTGAGCTAACAGGTCTGGATCTTTTAACTTGGGTAGTAAAGGCCCAGACTTAGATTAAGTATGATCAATACTGATAAACTCTTCAAGGGCATCAGGTTACCAAGTACAATTTATGAGTTGGTGACAAACCATATTCTATTACCAATAATTTCAGGAACTATCAAGTTCTGATTCCATACCAGATCTCACTTGCTTAGCAATATTTTAGTTTAAGCATCACTTTTCCTAAAATGTAACTTACCTAGCTCTTTGAATTAAAAAGATGTTTTTGTAAAATTGTATTGTAAACAATAACATTTAAATGATGGGATTCTACACACATACACTTTCTGTCCAGAGCTCTTGTTAAGATATGGTCATTTAATATTTTCTTCCAAACATGCATATGATTTAGTATCAAAGTACTATTTAACCACATTACAGAAGATGCTTCCTTAGAAATCTGCTCCTTCCATACTTTCATTGTACCCTGTCTCCTGGGGCAACATGCTTTATTTACAGTAACCAGATTTTCTTATTAACCCCAACTATTGTGATAGGATTTCACTGAAGTGCTCTACACAAGCATCACAATAAAACAGAGCCTGACATTCTTTTTTCAGTTCTCTATACATTTAAAATAAAACTGTTTAGCTTTGATGCCTGCCTTTTTCTTCTCACCCATTTGCTGGGATGCAATTAGCCTGCTATATTTCAAAACCATTTCTGTATTTTGGGTCACCAGTAATGAATATATATAAAACAATGACATACAGATAGACATGCAATGGTGATGTAACTTGTTTCTGCAGCCATCTTCACACACTGTTAGACTTTCTTCATCCAACATGCCTAGCAAACAAATGGGGCACATCTGTTCTTCTTCATCCTTCATACTAAAAAAGACAGACATAAGTGAGTTTAAAGAAAATGTAGCTTGATTCAAATGACCTTTAGGTTGAATACATAAATACTAACAATTTTAGGTTGCCTTGATTTGTAAATATGGCATGAATTTTATTAAAATATTAAAGGCTGAGATTTGGGAGCTTACTCAGTGGCCTGATTTTCAGAAGTGCTGAGCACTCAGCAACTTGTGTTAAGAACAAGAGCTGTAAAGTGCTTGGGCATTTTGAAAAGTCAGACAAGACATCTAAATATACCCATAGATGTGGATGCTTAATTTAATGCACCCTGCAGCTTACAAATTCTGGCTGAAATAAATCAACTTTATTACATTCAGCTTTCAATCTTGGGAATTTCTTCTTTGCCACACCTCTATCTGAATGTCTGTTTACAAGTTTCCTTTAGACTCCCATGGCAAGTGAGGTATATTATTTAAATGAACGAGTGTAACATTCTAAGAGCAAATGTAAAAATGAATGCATCTACCATATATTTTTACATAGATAGGTGCAAATGCTGTTGCAAAGGAGGATGATACAATACAAATCAAGATTACCAGTCAGATTCAAAACAACCAAATCTGATCAGCTACATTGTACATGGATGTTCATTTTATTTGCTCTCAATAAACTAGTACTTTGATTTTAAACCAATACCTATAGATTCTACAGAGAATGTATTACTGGATAGAATTACATTGACCAATGTATTTTGAAAATGGTTGATATATTCCTCTTTAATAATTTTATAAATATGCCAAAAATAACAATACATTTGCATGATAAATTGTATGTACCTACATACTTTTAAACCCTTCTGGGGCAAACCATAGCATTTTAATAAAATGCTTTCCTTCTTATCATCAAAATGATAGATTTTTCCAGTATTAGGCGCATAATATGGCCCAGCTGGTAGTTCTGGTTAGTTTTTCAATAGTGCATAGTTCCTCCAGGAGCATCAACAGATGTTTTCAGATCTGCAGTTTCACCATAGTGACATGTCTGGGTCATTAAGAGTAGCCCCACTTCCACACTTGTCTCCTGAACTGTCAATTCATGGTCCAAAGACAATTTAAACATTCTCAGATCAACCAATGCTTCTCCACCTGTGAGGAAGCATTTGCCAACATCAGTGCATATTCTGACACTTGAATGTATCAGGTTGTGCGCACCACACTGCCAATCCTGCAAGTCACTACTGATTCTAAGTGTTCAGTGGAGTCATTCTGGCATTCACATACAGGTTTGTTCACATTTGTTGGTCTTAGACGTCCTTTAATACACAGGCAGCTGTCATTCAGCAAGAGTCCAGCTTTTTTGTATAAGCCCATAACAGACATGCATATTTGGTCACCGAATAACAAAATACAAGTGCAACAGCTCTTCATCTTGCTAAGTGGCTTCCCAATCTGAAAATGCAAGGTTCCCAAATATAGTTTTCTAGGTGCTAACTTTGCCTACTGTCTTCTCCATATGCATCCTGAAGGAGAGACTGCAGTCCATCATTTCAAGGTAGACAGGCTTCCAGCAATGGGCAAGTGGTATCCCATTCTAGATGAGGCTGAGTTGTCAAATGGAATCAAGGTTCCAGAAGTGAAAAAAGATGTGCCTGTGTTTTAGCTGGTTTGGTGCTTAGTCAGTCTGTAGTGCAACAAACTAAAAGTCCAGGCAGTGTAAATGTTAGTAAAGCTTCACTCTAAGGAAAATCCTTATAGTCTGGACAGCAATACACAGATTGTCAGCACAGATTAGCCAGTCATTCATGTAGATGCTGAAGAGAACTGTGGTAATTCTTTCCAATTGGTCATTTCATTGTTGCCATCATCAACTCCATTTCCCGCACACAGTTCAACATAAAAAGCACTGGTTCTCCTGTAGTGTTGTACAAAGTGGCTTTCATCACTCAACGCTTTTCAGCATATTCCCAGAGGCACATCAGTGTTGCTCCCTAAAAATTCAGCTCACTTTCAAAAGTACTTGCACAGGAAAAAGCTGAGATCAAATATCTACTTTGTGAATATATGTATGCCTGTTGTATATGAACACATTCATCACATGAGTTTCCACAGTTAATATCTATACCAGGCTAAAAACAGCTGAAACTGAATAATTATAAAACAAACAAACAAAAAAAAAACTCTGAGGAAACACAACAGGCACAAATTCAATAGCCACAAATAATAATATCTAATTGAGTGCTGTACACTGATTATGCCCACATTGGTACCAAGATGATTGTGATATATGCTAGAATCTTAATTGGCTGCATATATGTAAAAATTTTATATGGCTTGAAATGGAAGCAGCCTTAAACAAAGAAATAAATTGTAGGGGTACCTAAACCTCCAGACCAAAGTAAAACCACGTAGAAAAAACCCACAAAAACTTGTAATGCCTTGAGAAAAGTACTAACCTGTTTTCTGAACTAGATGTGGAAGTACTAGATGATGACAATGTATGAGAATTTGACATGCGTGAGACAAACTTCTGGATGGTGTTACGAGATGGAGCTTTGATCCTTGAGCTACGCCTACTGTGATATTTCTGGAACAAACTCTCAACCTAACATTGGGAAAAGACAGTAATAGTAGCATTTATGCTATGAGTATCTCACATTACGAAGTGAACTTTCTGAAGTTTAAACATTACTAAAAAAAAAAAAAAAACCAACTGTTCACCTACATGTTTATAATACATCATTATTAAACTGTAGTAGGAGCAGGGATTTCAGAAAAAGCCTCAATAAGATGGCTTTAAATGATTATACTAATTTATAACAAAATGGTCTATTGATTTTATTTACTGTTTATTTAGTAGCATAAAAATGGTCTGGAAAATCCCTGTCTGTTTAATAAACAACTTAGTCCTCAGACAACAGATAAATGATGCACAGTAGATGTTGATGCAGTATCAATTTAAGTGGAAATGAAAGATTATGCTGTATTCATTTAACTTAAGCTCTCGATTGCTACTTTCAGCTGCTCCTTCTAACTGCAGAAAATGTGTCTACTATTTACATAATTTTTAAAGTTAGTACACAGTAACTTGCTAAATTAACATCTTGTATTTGTTTTTTTCAGAATTCAGAAAAAAAGTTATGGCACTATTACAATCTTGCACTAAAAATACCATTATTTGATATGTATCCCAGTTTGCCATTGGAGGAATACAAGAATACATTACCTCAAAATTCTTTAATGTCTTTCTCCACAGCATTGGATCTGAGGGTTCAAGCTGGAACACTCGAAGCATGACAAACAGCAGATGAATACAAAATGTTCCACGCCCACAACTACAGGTCTACAAAGAAACATATAGTAGGTTTAGAACTCTATTCTGGCTTAATCCTTACATATTTCTCTTCTTCATTTAAATGTATAAACTGCCTAATAGTCTACCCAGACACTGCTAATACCTAGTTTGAAATTATATGGATTCTTGTATAGCCACAGGCCCAGGTAAAAGAAATGTTTTTACGGAAAAAGAATACACTTCTGAAATGTGACTTGCATTCCTATTATTCATCAACACACACATTTTATTTATAATATAATGCATATGTGTACGTGTGCGAAAAAATGCAAATTATAATGGTACTTTTCCATCAGATTTTTTCTTCTCTCAGAGGCTACTGTTACTCTTCAGATGAAAAGAAGTTAGACATATGGGCATTATACATAGGAGTAGAATGGCAATGAAAGAATGTTTAGCCAGACTTCAGTAACCAGTTCCAAGGGCACCAAAGTCCAGTTGTTTCCAAAAAAAAAAATCAAAAAAAAATCAAGACCAGTATTAGAAAGGTCTGTGAAGAGGACTCAATGAGTATTAATGTTACCATGAGACCATTTAAAGAGCTTTCACATATGACTGTTAAATAAATGCCAAGAAAAAAAACCCAACAACTCATGCATAGTGTTCCATAGGCACAAGAGATTAAAAATGCTCACTGTAGTGTGAAGTGAGTGTAACAAAAAATTTCAGCCAAATTATTAAACGTCACATACGCTGAAGTAGCACAAACAGGGATTTCAATAAACTAAATCTGTTCATTGATAATGATTCCTCAATGAATTTAAGTAATTTTAAAAGAGAAGCGCTTGCTCCAGTCATATGTTTGCAATATATTTGACAAAATACAAACTTTGATAATCACGTATGCACACGAGATGCTTAATGTCCATTGGACTAATATTACTGTGCAGCTAGCAAAAACCATGCTAATATGCAGTAGGACTTAGTCCAATGAACATTAAGCGTCACCAGAAAAGTGTTCATTTGCACTAATGTGCAGTAGCGCCTATTACGGCATTAAGTTAGTATCTGTTATTACAAACACTAAACTTAATGCATCATACTCACAGCACTTTAATAAACATGTAAACATACCCAGTACCTTTTAAATGCTACAGTACTTAAATATCTCATTTAGAATTGTGAATCCTGAAACTTCATCCAACTTGGTTCTGCAAAAATTTCAAACGCTTCTAAATAAAAAAAAAAAATATATATTGCAGGCTTTGTGGGCAATTCCTACCTGAGGCCCAATAAACACTCTATATTTATTATCTGGGCTGTCTCCTCCAATTAAGAAAGAGTTGGGTCCTATCTGCTGCAACAGGTACAGTCTGGCTCGCATAACTTTGTTAACACGACGATTTGTTTCCTCAGGGCTATATGGTGAGAAGCCATCAGGAGATGGGGCTCTTCGAGGTGGAGTTATTCGCCCACTCTGAAACTGCAACAAAAATTCTTTCTTTACTAAGAAATGTTTATATAAAATTGTTATCAAAATACTGCCAGAGGAAGGAAAAATCCAGTGGCTTGCTATTATTTTTCTTAAAGTTCTTGATTGTTGATGTGAAAGTAGACTTCAGTTTCACCTGGTTTTAGAAAAATGGTTTCAGGAAGAAGCTGAGCCAGCTTGGGTAACTGCACAGTACTGGCTTATATCAGCACAAGCAATGATGTGTAGTTACTTGAGCTAGCTTGGTACGGGCTTCTTTCTTAACCATAAGTAGTTGCATTTATGTGGTACTGCATCTAAACGGCTCTGTCCCCCAACAGAGCAAATTATCTTGCTCTACAGCACCACATTACAGAAGCTAGCTGGAATCAGTATTTTAGTGTACACTACGTCCAGACCTGTTGTAAGCCTCAGTTCTTTGGAGTGGGCAGATTTCAGTTCCCCATTTAGTGAAGTTTTCATTTTCAGAATATAAGCAGTTTTCTAATGTAAAACAAATGAAGGGATGTATAGACAATTTACATTTGAGCTTATTTTAAGTTTCTACATAAATTGATAGAAATCATGCAACTGAAAATTAATGTTAATTTATATTCTCCCTTAATGCCTGTAGATCCACAAGATAAGCTTGTGGCTCCTAGTTTAGACTCCTAAATAAGTGGCTCGACTTCCAGACTTTTCACCTATTTAATTGGCTAAACTCTTAACTTTTGAAAAACGTAGCCAAAACATAGGGGACTGCTTCAGGAGGCCACAATAATAAAAAGAGTAGATAATATTGTACAATATGATGGAAAGGCCTAGAGCAGGGGTGTCAAATATGCAGCCTAAAGGGCTCCTAGAGGGGCTGAAGCAAGCAAGGGCAGGGTAGAGCCCTGCTGGGGATGAATGTCAGTGGCAAGGGGTGAGCGACAGTTGCATTAACCTGAACAGCTCACTGATGCCACTTTTCCTGCTGCTGCTGCCACCCTCTGGTCTGTATCAGGCCTAGGGTGTAAGTGAGTTAAGACACCCCTGCTCTAGGCCTTTTCAGCTCAATCTGTGAAGATTCATTTCTCCCTTACTGGGAAGCCAAAGGTAAAGTATGTCTTGTATAAATAGGGACCTACCCAAACCAAGGAGGCAGGCAGCCGATTTTGCAGGCCGATTGTGGAGCCGGCCGCCATTTTCATGGGCTTATCATGGAGGGTCCCCCCATGCCTTTGACTGGCCAAGATACCTATTTGTCATACAGCCTTGGCTCTCACTGGTGATTGGCAGAGGGGCTGCGGCCGCACAACAGACCTTCTCAGCCAATCAGCAGTGAGAGGCAGGGGCAGCCGCCATATTTGCTGCTCCCCTTCATGCCGGTTTCCCCCCTCCCCAGTGGGCTCTTACAGGAATTGTAGCCCAGTACCAGTAGCTCTCTGTTAGTAACTGACACTAATAAAGATATTGAAGAAAGCAAACTCCTGCTTCTTTGCACATCACACTACCTAGATACTTGTATCTCTAAGTCTTCCCAAGACTGAACATTTACTCAAATGCTAAGAAAAAACCTTGTACCACTTCTTATAGCAGTACTACCATGTAACATCCACCGCAATGATTCAGTTATTTAACAGCCTGATTCAGGGTTGTGTGTTATAAAAACTAGAAAACTAATTCAAACATGGAATTTCAAATTGCACATTTACTTTCCTAATATGTACAACAATAATACCTATTCAAGTTAACAAAATATACATGGTATCCCAAGTAAAGTGGAAATCTCTTCAAAACACTCATCTTTCTTTCAAACTATTCAACAAAAGCTATTTCTACATGCCAAATTCTGATATATGGACAACAATATTCCCTCTCCCCCAGATATAATGGCTTTCTAAAATAAAGCCCAAACCATCATTACCAAACAATAAATCAGCTTACAGGCACTGGAGATACCCTTTTCCTTCTGACACCTGGTGATTCAGATTTAACAGTTCTAGATGATGATGAGGAGGAGCTACTAGGAGAAGGGCTTCGTCTCCCTTTCTGGGTGGGTGAAGAAGCAGTACTTTGTCCTTCAGCTTGCGGTTCTAGCAATAGTTTGCTGGTTTCAGAGCAGTCTCCTTTCACTGGGATTGGTTTTACCACCTTACAGGAAATAAACCACATGGTTTATAGCATCTAAAACAATCACCTTCTAAATATGTAAGCAAAAATATACAAAGGGTATGGGCATATCAATAATTTACCAGAGGACAAAAAGGACGGAGGGGGAGGAGAAGCTTACTAGGCATCAGCTACTCTCCAGTAAGTGCAATATAGAAGCCCTTACACTGACTTAATTTGAAGCTAAGCCACTGTAACTTACCCCTTCTTTTACTGAGGTTATATGATAAAGTTTACGTTTACCTACAACAGGGTAAAAGATGTGCATACGGGCAGTCACTGTCAAGCAGCTGATGTACAGTAAAACCCCAACACCTTTTGCTCCACAGAAAATTGTTCGTAACATGTCCTAATAAGTCTGTTTTAAAAACATAATCATATAACATCTATAGATTATCCAAGTACCTACTTGACAGAATCCCTTGACATGGGAACTCTTGGATAGTCCTCAGTGATATTATTAATACTTAATGCTTTACCAATATCATAAAGAACAGTTAGAGCTCTCATTAGGGAGCAGTGGGATTTTCCTTTTAATCATGGATTGTTCAGGATATGGTCTTTCCCTCGAGAGTGGAATGACAGATAAATGCAACTTATTTTTACTAGTTCAGTTTTATGTTCAAATAAGCACACAAGTGCTTGGTTTCAGCTATGACAAGTAACACCTTCAACTCAAGTTCTTGTAAGTTCCAAAGAGACCATCCTTTTAGCTTTTTTAGCACAAAAGATACTAGAAGTAAATGCCAATGGCTGACAAGAATTACACTGTACTCTGTGAACTATACCTCCCTTGTTTGTTGGAAAAACCCAATTAAACAGAATTCCAATGTACTTCTTAAAATTATTCTTACAGTTTATGCCAATATTAGCAAAAAGGACCGAGTACAAAAACCTGCTCACATCCTAAATCCGGTAGAGATAAAGGCAAGTGGATGCATTATGTAAAACAACATACATATACATTCCACCCAGGAAGAACACACACCAACTGCTGAAACTTCCTTAGCCTGACGAAGGGTTTTTGAACCCGAAAGCTTGCTTAATAACTATTCTCCAACTATCTGGGTTGGTCTAATAAAAAATATCAGAGTCACCCAAGGAACCTTGTATACATATACACACACGCACGCACGCACGCAGTTTCTGATTCTTTTAAGTTTGCGGTGGTTTGTTTTTTCTTGAATACTTCCATATTTCAAGGCTATATGAGGAGACATAACATCTAAGGTGTTTTTTTTCTTTTTTAAATGTTTGAATTAGGATGTCACAAGCCCTAGAAGAGAGCAGGGAGCAGAAGATAATGTACTTTCTGCCTTTTTTTTTTTTAAGCATGAAGTTTATTGTGTTTCTTTCCAGTACAGGTACAAAACAGATATGGAAAAAAGGTTAATTTACAACAAATCTTGGGATTCTGTTCTGTAATATTTTGGCGGTTTTTTGACTGAGGAAAGGAAGAGAAAAAAGAGTTTTAAACTTTAGCCAATAAATGTAGATATTTCAGATGTTGACATTAGAGGGCAGTGTTGTCACAATAATATTTTTATGCAAAACAGTTGTCTGTTGAACTATTTGACCTTCTAAGCACCAAACATATTACAAACCTGCCAGTTTTAAAGTTAAGAATAAGTCTTCAATTAATTCAGAGAGGCAAACAAAGGGATCAGTGATGATAATTACAGTATTAGGGTTTCAAGCACTAAGAGTTATTTGCTCATGTCCTCACTTTCAATAACTGCAAATTACAAGTAGAAATTATTTAGTAATTATGATTCTTCATGGACATAACTTACCACAGGGCCTCTCCTACTTCTCTTTTCCAGCCATTCATGCTTCCAAGCTGGCATGCATGTTGCCTTGAGTTTCTCCCTGATCATGCGCTCTTCTGGGCGGTCATCCATTTTCTGCAACCCCCTGAGGGTTTCTTTATTCTCCATGTCACAACTACAGTAAAGGAGGGGCAAGGGGGGGGAAAACAAATGTAATTGTCACTAATTAAAATTTAAGTATAATACTACTACATTCTTTAATCTTGTACCACAATACACTTTTTTTTTCTCTTCACAATATAATTTACTAAAACATTAATTCCAACTAGCTGGAGCAAACCACTTAAGCGTTACCGTGAACAATTTGCTACCCTGGTATTTGGAGCATAACTGTTTTGAGGCATATTTACTTAAAATCTGTAATAGGACTGAAGAATCAATGAGGAGGAAAGGCCACTGTAAAATATTACTTCAAATTAAAGCTAACCCCCCCTCCACCCTGTCCATAAAAATTTCAGAATGATAAGTGAAGGTTGCAGTTTCTCATGCATTTAAGACAATTTATAACAGAAAAAACAGATAGTGTTTAGCAACTTCCATGTTCTCAAAGAGCTAGTACTACTATATAAAGTGCCATACTGCTTCTAAGCCACTGTGCAAGGAAAAGCTTCAAGCAACTGATTTAAAAACCTCAAATCTGTTTAAACCAGAAACGCAAGTCATGATAGTATGGCTGGAGTAAGTTCAACTTTGCTTTCTGAAATACTAACAACAAAAAAGCACTTCTAATCAACTATATTTATGACAATACATGAAGCCAGTTCCTAACTGTAAAATTAAAACATAATCTATGGCCTATATGATTTTGACCTTCAGTAAAGTAGCTGCTTATGATCACTGACAATAATGAAAAGCATTTCCAGGCACTGAACTACAAATGAGCAGTCTGGAGGGTTTCCTGATTCTACTAAGTTATCTGCTAAAATCGCCAGAAAAATCATGCTTAGCCAAAACATGTGATCTTGTGAGATCTTCTAGAATTTAGTTCTTTAAAAAGGAGTAAAACTTTGCTTTTAAAAGAATCCACCACTTAAAATTCAATTAAGCAGACAGTCTTAAAATAAACTTAACCCCTCCCCAGACATTCGCACAAAATAAAAGGACTTAATTCATATACATACATAAATTGCTCTATATTTGTTATTCTTGGTTTTTCAAGAGTAACAACTTAACCTACTAAACACAACTTCACCTACTAATATACACAATTTCACCTACAAAAATAGGTAGTTATGCCAGTAACAGTTCACTAATTTACACTGACTTGCATGATTTATTGGTAGACACAACAGGCACTTCATAGATTATTTGTCCTGTGATTAAAAATAATAAAAACGTCTCTTTTGGGCAACAACATGTAACCAAGACTGATAAAGTGGAGGATCAGAAGTTTTTGTTGGCCTAAAAACGCACTGATCAAATGTTACAGAACTTTTCCCCTTTTATTGTAGAGACAAAGGAAATAAAAGTATCTAGGGACAGGAAATAACATTTTCCTGTTCAGTGCAGAAATGTCACAAGCAGATGAACAACATTAAACATATTTTCTTTCAAACAACATCCTCAAAATGTACTAAATTATGATTTTTGATATGGGCACTATCAGAAATGGCTGGGTCCTACATTTTCAATACAATAAATCAACCCAAACAGTTGTATCATTTTAATTTCTGGAAAAAAGGCCCATTCTGAACCAGCAGGGAGAATCAGATACTGAAGTAGCTTGAAAGTGTGATAACTGTAGATGCGACGAATATATTATCTTTTGCAGTATCTTCTTAATCCAGTAATTGAACAAATCCAGTAATTTTCCAGTAATACTCTAGTAATTTTCTGGCTTACATACTATAGTGATTTATGGAAGAGCATTTTTAAGCAGTTAGGAACACTTTTATGCTTTCCTAATGGATGTACATGTTTTCTTAAAAATAATGCAAAGGTCATGGTAAAAATTGTATAGTAAGCTCTAAAGCTGTAAAACAGACTTGAGAAAAGAAGAAACCCCCCCCCTCTAAAAACAACTAAAACCAGACGAAATATTGTCTTGCTGTGCACCAAATTTGTACACAAAAAGAAACATAAGCCCTAATAAAAATTTGTCAATCCTTCATTAAAAGTGAAAGACAGATTATTTGTTACTTGCATTTCCGTAACAGACCCTACCAAGAAGGGAGACCCAAATATATCGAGCTCCCTAGCAGAGGAGGGCAATTTTCACTCTCTTTCCTTCTTCAGCCACAGCTCTCCTCTGATGGCAGTGGGAGCTCTTCCCGAATAAGACTTGAGTCCATAAAACGATACAGATGCAGAAATCTAGGTGTTAATATCTCAGATACTTTAAATTAATTAAAATAAACTGCAACTGTAATTTCATGTCCACTGTTTCAAATGCATGAAGTTGTATACAAGACAGAAAACACTGCCCTACTAAGAGAGAGAGAGAGAGAGAGAGAGAAGCACACTATTTCATTTGTTCACATAAATTGTGATTAACTTCCCCAACGGATACAAAAAAGTCTTTTAGTGGACCTCTGACTTGATTCCACGAACAAAGTAATACAACAGCGAAGGCTTCACAATCTGTACTTGTTCTCCAAAAAGCAGAAGCAGCTATCTTTCTCTCTCATGTGACAGTAAATCCAATCTTCACTTGCTTTCAACAAAGAACTGTTGTGTTTTTTTAATGCAGGTGGGAAAGACCAGCTGAGACTGAAAGTGCTTTGCCCAATAAATGAAGATCACTTCTAAAAACAGCAAAGATAAGTACGTGTACTGCCAGAGGATTTGAGACATTCCCATTTGAGACATTCAAAGAAGCGTACTTATATTTTGCTCAAACTACAGCGACGAGGAAAACTCATTAAAGTAAACAGCGTTCAAGACAAATATCCTTGTAATTGTGCCTACACATCCGAAGTGGCCTGCAAGGTGCTGTTGAAGCTGGTCACAAATTGGACCCGAACCCAAAGTCCTTACTTCAGGCGAGAGACACCAGAAGGTGCAACAACGATTTTGTCCAAGTGATGCCTGCCAGGCTGGTCCCCAGGTTACTCCTCTCCTCTTCAAAGCGTCGGGAACAAGAAAAACATTGTCTTACAAAGTCGGTAAAGGATACCCAGGGCTCGAGCCTACATTACCCTGCAAAACGTGCAGGCACGAAGCTGACGTGAAGCCTGTCAGCATGTCCCGGCCGGGCGAAGGGCGGTCACGCCACAGGCTGGAAGTGACATGGCTGCAGTTCAGTCACTAACCGTGTCCTCGCCAGACCGAGCCCAGGGCAGGGATCCGCAGCCCCCGGCACGCGTGCGCCATTTTGCGGGGCACGCGGGCCCAGGGAGAGGCCGGACCCGTGCGGCCCAGGCCCCGCCCCGCCCCTGCCCCGCGCTGCGGCGCGCGTGCTTCGGCGGGGAAGGGGCCCGAGGCCGCGCAACCCCCGCCCCGCCCCTCCCCCTCGTGCGCACCACTGACCTGCTG